TTGTTTATTTGATTCCTATTCAAGACACTTAAGATAAGATAAGAATAAAAATAAGAATAACTATAGTGTTACTATAGGCGGATACAGATTTGTTTGACATTTTTGGTTGGTGGTGTGTCCGTGATTTTTTCTATGAAAAAATGTACCTTGGCCCAAAAAGGTTGAAAAAGACTGCTCTAACTGGGAGATGAACTGATGTGCACCACTGATCGTCCCCTTCCCCCCCACCCCCTTCCTGATTGTGGACAGGTCTGAAGAACTTCCTGGACAACTGCCAGCGTGTCCAGAACAGGGACCAGCGGGACCGGGACGGGGACGGAGTGGGAGACGCCTGCGATAGCTGCCCGGACATCCCCAACCCAAACCAGGTGGGTTTGTTTATGTTTTTGCATTTGGAAGACGCTTTTATCCAAAGTGACTTACAGAGTAGACACAATATTACATTTATCATCACTATAAGGAACTAAAAGGAAGTTTTTCCTTGCCTGTGTCGCCTAGTGCTTGCTCACAGTGGGAATTGTTGGGTTTCAGTAATCAACTTCAGAGTAGAGTCTGACCTGCTCTGTTTGGAAAGCGCTGTGAGATGACCGTTGTTGTGATGTGGCGCTATATAAATAAAATTGAATTGAATTGAATTGAACTATGACAATAATCTATACAGAGGAGAAACACTGATCAGAGTCAGTGGTGAGATAGAGAAAAAGGTACAGGGACTACAGAAGGAGCTGGTGGGGGGTAGAGGTACGGGTTAGGGTTAGGATAGGAGCTGTGGGGGGTAGAGGTACGGGTTACGGTTAGGATAGGAGCTGTGGGGGGGTAGAGGTATGGGTTAGGGTTAGGATAGGAGATGCTCTTTGAAGAAGGGGGTCTTCAAGAGTTTCTGAAGACAGACAGGGACTCTGCTGTTCTTGTAGCTTGGTAGGTGGTTCCACCATCTTGGAACGACACATTAAACAGTCTGGATGGTCTTAAGCTGGTGAAGGCTCTGCTAGACCACAGTCCACTGATGACCGGAGTGATCGAGTTGTGACATAAGCCTTTGCGAGAGGATTCAAGTAGATGGGAGCCGTACCCTTAAGCAAAAATCCCCAAACTCTATCTGAAGGGCTCCAAGAGAAGGTGACGACGGTCCCCTAATTCCCAGGAAAATCTGTGTTTCCGGTGGAATTTTACATGCATTTCTGCTGACTCTTTTTTTTGGTTTGTTTTTCTCACCGTTGTTTTGATGCTTTCAGTCTGATATCGATAACGACCTGGTGGGAGACTCCTGCGACACCAACCAGGACAGGTGAGGCCTCCGAGTACCGCTCCGGCCGAGCAGCCTCTGGCTGCAGCCTGTAGGAGCCTCGGGTGGATATCCGACTCCTCCCACATCCATGTTGGCCATTTTGATTAGGTCATGTGACTAGCAGCTTTCTGAGGTGGAAACGAAACTTTACTGTCTATATGAACGATGTCTTAACCCTAACCCTGAACCTAATCCTGACCCTAACCCTAACCCTAAACCTAACCCTGAACCTGACCCTAACCCTAACCCTAACCCTAACCCTGACCCTGACCCTAACCCTGACCCTAACCCTGACCCCAACCCTAACCCTAATCCTAACCCTAATAAACCCTAAACCTAATCCCTAACACTGACCCTAACCCTAACCCTCCACCTTTCATACTTATGAAAATAAAAACAATTTGGTTAAACTTGTTTGGACTTATTGTACAAACCTCCACTATTTTAGCATAATATTATGTATAGAGTTTAATTCAGTGTTTGCAAGATTCATTCCACTATTTTTAAATTAATGTCTACATTGCCATGAAGCAATTAGGATTTTCTTGCGTGGGATCTTCCTATTGGTGACCTATTCAAAATGTCCGACTTAGATGTGGGCGGAATTGGATATCCATCCTTGGCTTCCTATAGCCAGATGTACTTTTTCCGGCTCCCCTCTGACCCGTTTTCCTCACTACCCTGCCTCCTTCCCCCCCCCCAGTGATGGCGACGGCCACCAGGACACGAAGGACAACTGCCCCCTGGTGATCAACAGCTCCCAGCTGGACTCGGACAAAGACGGGCTGGGAGACGAGTGCGACGACGACGACGACAACGACGGCATCCCGGACTTCCTGCCCCCGGGGCCGGACAACTGCAGGCTGGTGCCCAACCCCGACCAGGTGGACGACAACAGTGAGTCCGTCAGAGATCTAGCAAACCTGGACCTCCTCAGAAGCATCTTCTCATTCTCCAGTTTCACCCTCATAGCAGATAAAGGACCAGCAACCCTGGCAGATCAGTTGTTTTAAAATATATGGCGGCCATATAAGGATAGGGTAAATGTATGCATGTTTTGGTCATTTAAAGCCAAATTTGGTCAACTTTGCTCATATAATATGGATTGTTTAACCCTATAATGCCAAATGTATCATATTTGGTACACACGGTTTCTGAAGTCTTTTGGATCTGAGACTTTTCGCATCATTCAGTGGTAAAAGCTTTGCTCAAACCCCTGTTGTACACATTCAGATATACCTGATAACAGCCAGTAGAAGACTACACCAAAATACATTTTTGACTTATTGCACGCTAATTTGATCAAAATCATTTCTGTTTTTTTTCCTTCATATGTTGTTGAGGGGCCAAAGAAAGACTTCAGACTAAAAAAATGCAATATTCTTCCTATTTTTCTTGGATCGGGCTTTAAAGGGTTATACATGCTTTTGAACATTTCTGACACTTCTTGTGTAACATATAAAATCAAATCAAATCAAAGCTCTCGAGGGATGAAGAAGGTTCCCCTTCATCCCAAAATGGCCTCACATGAAGCCAGTAGCAGCCCTCCCACACTTACACAGATTCATCCACATTCTCATAGTTTATTTTAGCTTTTTAAAACGGTTTCATTCAGTACGATTTGTCGTGTTTTTCCCCTCACGACTGCCTTGAATTACGGTACTCTACAGGCCTGCGTGAAGATCGTGCAAAACAGGGCAGCTTAGTATTGTTCAGTCTTTGCTGTTGATGTCCGAGATGTTCGAGTAAGAAGTCCCTTTCTGTGGGTTTTTTAATAAGGAGCGCAATGCTGTGTGATGGCTTCCCAGTCTGGACTCTCAGTTTAAAGGAGGAGACTTAGCAATGATCCCCATCCGGTAGTCGAATGTTTTTCCGGTCTCTAACTCGCGCTCTGCTCCTCAGACGACGGCGTCGGAGACATTTGCGAGTCCGACTTCGACCAGGACAAAGTGATCGACCGGATCGATAACTGTCCCGAGAACGCGGAGGTCACGCTGACCGACTTCAGGGCCTATCAGACGGTGGTGCTGGACCCCGAGGGCGACGCCCAGATCGACCCCAACTGGGTGGTTTTGAACCAGGTGAGGGAACTCTCAGTCCTCGCGTTGACAGTTGTCCTGCGGCAAAGAGAGAGAGAGAGAGAGAGAGAGGGGATGTTAGAATTTGGTCATAATTACTCACTTTAGCATAGTATGCTATCACATGATCTATGTAAATTACTGTTTGTATTATTCCTTCCTCACCTGGGCTTCATCCTGCTTACGCAGCATTAATTCCCTCTCACAGCTCCTCTTACAGAGCTCCTGGTCCCAGAGGGCAGGTAGTTTGTGCAGAAACTCTCTGGAAGCCGTCCGCATGCTATCTTTTCAGTTAGCGGCCGGTGAACAAAGCGGAGGCTTTAGCAGCTTAAGAGTCAGATATTTCCCCGGAGAGGCTAAAAACAGAGATAAAAACGGAGGGAGGGTGTGCACTTTGAGGCAGAACTCCATGGAAATTTGAGTTGCAAGCATGTAGCTAAACCTTTTGAAATGTTTGTGGTGATATTATACAGCTGGCTGGATAAAGCTAATCATCTCTCCTGCTTCCAAACAGGGAATGGAGATCGTTCAGACCATGAACAGCGATCCAGGACTCGCGGTCGGTAAGATGCTCACAGTTCTTCTCAAAAGCCTGAAAGTACAAAAAAATAAATAACTAAACTAGAAAAAGGGCTGTGGAACAGCTGTGAGGATGCCAAGTGCTGAATGGAGGAAGAAGGAGAAGAAGCCAAAGAAAAGCTGAAAAAGACAGAAATGAAAAGTTGAAGAAGGGAGGAAGCAGAAGAAAAAAGGAGGAATACGATTTTAAAGATTTGAACAGGCATCTTCCAGATCTGTAGTCAGACACTCTACCACTGAGCTATACCACAGGCTGAAGGGATGGAGAGAATTCATAGGAAAAAATTGAATGGGCTAAAATGCCAGTGACCAGCAGAGGGAGCCATAGTTTTTTCTCCATTCATTTCAATGACAGGAATAATGCATTAAAAGTTAAATATCTTAAAAAGTTGAAAAGATTTGAACACCAAAAGTCATAGCTGCATAGTTTTGAGATAGCTGAACATTTTGATACCTTATTTGTTGAAATAGGCTTAAAGGTGTCGGAGTAGTTAGACGCAGAAAAACTTACGGAATATGGAATAATAAAGAGAAACAGGAAAACAATAGTGAGATAACAATAAGAAAGAAAGAAAGGAAAAATGGTCTCATTTGGCTTCCTGTTGCCAGGTTACACGGCCTTCAGCGGCGTGGACTTTGAGGGGACGTTTCACGTGAACACGGTCACCGACGACGACTACGCCGGCTTCATCTTCGGCTACCAGGACTCGTCCTCCTTCTACGTGGTCATGTGGAAGCAGACCGAACAGACCTACTGGCAGGCCACGCCCTTCAGGGCCGTGGCCGAACCGGGCATCCAGCTGAAGGTGAGTCTGGGCTGGGCCCCCCCCACCAGAGATGTTCAGTAACGAAGTAGAACTACTAAAGTACTGTACTTAAGTACCAAAATGCAGTATCTGTACTTTATTGGAGTAGATATTTTTTCCCCTACTTTTACTTTTACTCCACTACATATTTTTGATTATTTCAATACTTCTACTCCGATCGACTTTTCACGGGCTGAATCGTTACTCGTTACTGATATGTAAACGTAATGATAGATAGCTCTGTCAGGGTTTGGGAAGCTGGCTCATCATTGGGCGATTTGAACGATCAAGCATAGCCTATTAAAAAAAGCCTCCTGAAAGATTTTTAATTATAGCCTTCAAAAATTCCCCATCTGATCTGAAGAAGCATATCAAGGTAAATTAAAAAATACAATGACATATAGGCTAGTAAATAAGCGCTAGTTCAGTTCTCCCTGTTCACTCAGGACGTAGCAGCTAACGTTAGCTAAAGCTAACCTAGCTGGCTAGCTGTATGATAACGTTAGCTAAAGCTAACCTAGCTGGCTAGCTGTATGCTACATGCTAGCATAAAGGCTCAGCTCAGGATTCTGACTCTGGAATAATAAATAATAGTAGATGAAGTGCTGTTGATACTAATGCAGATGTAGTTTTCTGTAGTTTTCAGCTGTATGGCCTTTCACACGTTTGAAATAATATAAACAATATCTATCAAACTTTTGACTGCCTTTTTTAAAAATATACACAGTACTTGTACTTTTACTTATACTTGTACTTTCAATACTTAAGTAGAATTTTTTTAAATACTACTACTTGCAATACTTAAGTACAAAAAAAATGGAGTACTTCCGTACTTCCACTTAAGTATGGTGTTGAAAGAACACTTCTACTTTTACTCAAGTAAATTTTTTTACATAGTACTTGTACTTCTACTCCACTCCTCTACTCCAGTACTTTAAACATCTCTGCCCCCCCACGCCTTCCCGCCCTAACCCTAACCCTAACCCTAACACTAACCCCACAGGCCGTAAAGTCCAAGTCGGGCCCCGGGGAGCACCTGAGGAACTCGCTCTGGCACACGGGGGACACCAACGACCAGGTCCGGCTGCTGTGGAAGGACCCCAGAAACGTGGGGTGGAAAGATAAAGTGTCCTACCGCTGGTACCTGCAGCACCGCCCACAGGTGGGCTACATCAGGTACGGCCATAAAACACGGAGAACAGGCAAACGCCATCTTTTCCTTGTAGAAAAGATTTAAAAAATCCAAAGTTGACCAAATTTGGCCTTAATGTGTCTGCAGTGATGAAACACTTAGTCTGCTCACGGCTCCTTCCCTATTTCTTTTTTTTTTCACTGTACTGCAGCAGATTATAAAAATGGTTTATTTCTAAAATGAAATCTTTAACCCTTTAAAGCCTGATCCAAGAAAAATAGGAAGAATATTGGATTTTTTTAGTCTGAAGTCTTTCTTTGGCCCCTCAACAACATATGAAGAACAAAAAAAAACTGAAATTATTTTGATCAAATTACCGTACAATAAGCCAAAAATATATTTTGGTGTAGTGTTCTACTGGCTGTTATCAGGTATATCTGAATATGTACAACAGGGGTTTGAGCAAAGTTTTATTGAATGATGCAAAAAGTCTCAGATCCAAAAGACTTCAGAAACCGTATCTATCAAATATGATACATTTGGCATTATAGGGTTAAAAAATCCATGTTATATGAGCAAAGTTTACCAAATTTGGCCTTTAATGACCAAAACATGCATACATTTCCCTCATCCTTATATGGCCGCCCAACCTGAGCCATGGTTCTGCTCCAGGTTTCTGCCTGTTAAAAGGAAGTTTTTCCTTCCCTGTGTCGCCCAGTGCTTGCTCTTGGTGGGAATATATGTTCTTCTGTAAATAACTGCTCTGTTTGGAAAGCTGGGAGATAACTTCTGTTGTGATGTGGCGCTATGGAAATAAAATTTAATTTAATTATACAAAGCCTGAAACTGGTCAATGAAACACCGAATGATATATATAAATATTTCAATGAATTAAAAAGTTAGAAATTTTACTGGAAGTCAGGACAGTTGTTCCAGAATATAAATCTGGCAGCTTTTTTTAGCAGCTGCCAGAAAACCAATGCTAAACATCTCCAAACCTGTTTTGATATGTTTTCTGCTCAGAGCTCGGTTTTATGAGGGGACCGAGCTGGTCGCCGATTCGGGAGTGACCATCGACACGACCATGAGGGGAGGACGGCTCGGCGTCTTCTGTTTCTCGCAAGAAAACATCATCTGGTCCAATCTGAAGTACCGCTGCAACGGTAGGTTGGATATACAGTTGGGGAAATAAGTATTTGACCCCTTGCTGATTTTGCAGGTTTGCCCACTTACAAAGAATGCTTATTTTTCCTCATCAGATGGTTATCAATTTTTATAAATTCATGTGATGTGATTTTCTGGAATTTTCTTTGGGATTCTGTCATTCATTGTTAGAATGTACATATGATTAAAGTTATAGATCGTTGCATTCTTTGTAAGTGGGCAAACCTGCAAAATCAGCAAGGGGTCAAATACTTATTTCCCCCCCTGTATGTTGTGTTTTTATCCGTTTATTCATACGACAAATTGCCAGAACCTTCCATTATGTTTATGTTTATGTGTATGCATTTGGCAGACGCTTTTATCCAAAGCGACTTAAAGAGTAGACACAATATTACATTTCTCATCACTATGACAATAAGCTATCCAGAGGAGAAACACTGATCAGAGTCAGTGGTGAGATAGAGATAGAGGTAGAGGGACTACAGAAGGAGCTGTGGGGGGGTAGAGGTACGGGTTAGGGTTAGGATAGGAGCTGTGGGGGGTAGAGGTACGGGTTAGGGTTAGGTTTAGTTTGAGCTGAAGTCTGTGTAGTTTTATTCGTTTCTCAAAGTCCATAAAACTCGGCAGTCCTTCCCGACCTCTTCTCTTTCGTCGGAAAAAAGGGTCACGATTAATTTTGTGTTGGGAGGAAAACTTTGGCTGTGAGGGGAATGAGTTTGACCCCACTCATAAAATCGGTCACTTCCACAGACACCATCCCAGAGGACTTCCAGGAGTTCAGCACCCAGCATGCGGCCGACTCAATCTGAAGCCCAGCAGAAATATGAAAGCAGATGGAGAGGGAATGCATCTGCTTGACCGGGGGGGGGGGGGAGTGTGAGAGCATGGGAGTGTTTTTTATTTTTGTGTGTGAAAGTGTATTGATGTGTACAGTTTCCAAACAAGTATGACCACCATCTTTGTACTGTATCTCCATGTTATGAAGTCATTCTACCTAAACGTGCTCTCGAAATTTAACCAATCACTAAAAGTCTGAGCTTATTATGCTGAATATTGTAAGTTATAATGAATTATACCAAAGACAGTGTAAAGTGATGTGACTCAGGCATTATAAATGGGTGTACAAACTATTAGCAGCATTCCTATCGTGGATTTCCAGCTTCAGACCTATTTTCCAACAGTCTGCTTATTCCAAATGTAAGTTAAATCCATCATAATAAATCCTCCTTTGATTGGCGGCTGGAACTATTATAGAGTCTTTTTTATTTCTGCTCGCATCCAACACGTTCAGCAGTTTGTTTCCAGAGTCTGGCGGAGCTTTGAGAAATTAACCCAATTTTCTCTGGTTTCAAGCCTGTACTGTTTTGTTCCTTTAAATCTGCACGTTTGCCAGGTTTGTGTCTCTTCAAAAAACCAATTCAAGACTGCGGCATTGCACAGAAAGCGCTTAAATGTGATCAAACTAAAGGAAAGACCACGTTTCTTTTGCTTTAGCTCCTAAATGGTGTTGCAGAAATGCCGACTCAGCTCCTCTGAGACGAGTCCAGCACATCTGGGCAACACTCACTTTTCCTGGAGAGGACCAAGAGTTGTTAATTTCATAGCTATGCAGAGAACCTGCTCAAAATAAACACATCCAAACATGTGCAAACGTATTATTTAACATGTTTAGATGTCCATGCCACCGAAACATAGCAGTGAATGTTCATTATAGGTCCCTACTTCCCGCTAATTCTCCTTTTCCCAGCGGTGCCCCGGCAACAAAGGCCCCTGTTCTGCTTCATCAGGAAATCCTCTCCTAATGAGAACATTCTTATCCCCGATTAGCTGCAGCATGGAGGGACTTTGGTCCCGGCTCCAGGCAGGAGTCCCCCGGAAAAGAGACACGGATGAGCTCCTTTTGGTTTTTGCTTTCTTTTCAAAAAACGAGAAACCGTGCAGATGATCAAATTTGGCTGAAGCTTGAAACATCTGTAATTCATCATCAAAACTGTGAGGTAAGAAGAAAAACAACATTTTTTCATGAGATTAAATTAATAGACGCAAAAAGTCTGTCTATTCCTTTTTAAGTAGTCAATCTTTTAACCATAAATCATTAATGATATATCTTGTGAACTGGGGGTGAATTTTCTCTTATTTCTAAACTAATAAACCCGTCAGTTTGCAGTCAAATCCCCGTACATGCAGCACGACTTAATCTATTCACAGGTCGATGATCAATAGATTAAATGTGAAAACTGCTGTGTTGGCCGAACTTTTTGAAAGATAAAATCTTATTTCAAGTAAAACCGGAAAGGTTTCTGTTTCTGAACTGCTGAACAAATAAAAAAAAATAAACGTATAGAGTAAGTAAAATCGTTTATTGCTTTTACAAAGTCTCAGTACTTTTTTATGCCAGCAACACAAAAAAGTTAGAGATACAAAATCAGACAGAAAAATAAATAAAGTATGCAGGTGGCAGGTGAGGGTGCCACGGTTGGGTATAAAAGGAACATTCAACAAAGGGACTCTAATTAACTCTAATTCAATGCTTTGTTCAAAGCTTTAGAGGAGAAAAATCAATCCACAACCCATCAGGATATGAAGAAAAGTTTAGAAATGAACCTTTTTTGTTCATTTATGGTGCAGAATCGCACAACAGCCACCCAACACAGGTCTTTTATCTTAAGACTGGTTCTTGTCTATGTTTTCATTTGCCAGAATAGGTTTAATAGCCAGTTTTTGTTACCTAAACACAGGATGGGTGGCTCAATATCGACATGTGCAGAATCCATTTTTATCAAATGCTAATCATGTGTTGTTGTCCAGTGACCAAATTTAAATAAAAATTAGATAAAAAATATGTCATTATCTGCAATAAAACCTGCTGCAAAAGGTGTATAATGACGTTTTGGGAAATGTGCTACTACTAAATACTACTAAATACTACACCTACTATTATCTAGTTAGTTTCCAGTTAGTTCTGCTGGATAATGTTTGGCTTCCTTCTGCACAATTTTAGAAACTCAGAAACCGGCCGGTCTGCTTCAGAAATCTGTCTCTAATTAAAACATGTTACCATGAGACACAGACACTGGCTGTTGAACATTGTATTCAGCCAGAACGGACATAGTTCCCTCCTGTGACTGAGGGCTAGCATCCTCTGTTCCCGGGATATTAAAAGGTGCAAAGGGAAAAGGAAGGGTTATGTAACACAACGGTACACACACACATTTCTCTCCCCACTTTCCATTTGAGCTGTGTTTGTGTTTCTTACTTTCCATTACAATGAAGCTGTTCTGTGAAAAACACGTCTGTGGAGTACAAGAGTTAATCAAATTTGCAGTGTAACGCAAAAAAAAAGGCTAATTTGAATCTTTTTTAACCAGAAATGTGCATCCCTGGAGATTTATTCTCCAAAATATCATGCATCTAATGCATGTTAACAATCCAAAGACACAAAGAATATACAGGACTGTCTCAGAAAATTAGAATATTGTGATAAAGTTCTTTATTTTCTGTAATGCAATTAAAAATCATGAAATGTCATACATTCTGGATTCATTACAAATCAACTGAAATATCGCAAGCCTTTTATTGTTTTAATATCGCTGATTATGGCTTACAGCTTAAGAAACCCAAATATCCTATCTCAAAATATTAGAATAGCGGATTTTTGAGTTTTCTTCAGCTGTACACCATAATCATCTATATTAAAACAATAAAAGGCTTGTGATATTTCAGTTGATTTGTAATGAATCCAGAATGTCTGACATTTCATGTTTTTTAATTGCATGACAAAAAAATAAAGAACTTTATCACCATATTCTAATTTTCTGAGACAGTCCTGTAAGTATCTCTTCTGGAAGTCAGGAGCTTTGAGTTTGCATTTGAGAACATTTTGATTTCTCTTTATTTTGCGTTCAGAAAAAGTGTTAAATCACAAAACTTTTGCACGTCAGAGTAAAAAGTTTGTCGTTCCTGATTAGCTGTTAGATTTAGGATCCGGCTGAGTCGTGTCGGGACGCTTTTGTTGGAAGACTCTTCAGAAAAAAAGGTTACAGATCGACTCTCATCCGAGCTCTTCTCGGCTTCTGTTTGCCGAGTTTTGCTGCTACGTTTGACTCTTTGAAGCCTCGTCACACAGAAGAAGAAAAGAGCTGAGAGATCAAGAGGCGAGCAGGTATCTGGGTAACAACAGAACCGGGACTGAACCGGGACCTGACACGTGATTTGAGACTCTCCTTCTTAAATCCGCTTTGATCACTCCTTCAAAAAAACCCACAATAAATGGATGTTTTTTTCGTAAAAATAGCATCGGAAAAACGGCTCACGCTTCACTATTGAAGTCGTTTCCGCTCAGGGAGCAGAGAGGAATCATGTTCACACCGATTCAGTTTGTGTGCACGGAGGCGTGGACGTGCACGGTCAGAGTTAAGGGTCATCGACCTCTGAGTGGGCCGAAAACTTGACCGAGGCCACAAAATACAGTGGGGGAAATAAGTATTTGACCCCTTGGTTTGCCCACTTACAAAGAATGCAACGATCTATAACTTTAATCATATGTACATTCTAACAGTGAAAGACAGAATTTGAAAGAAAATTCCAGAAAATCATATCATATGAATTTATAAAAATTGATAACCATCTGATGAGGAAAAATAAGCATTCTTTGTAAGTGGGCAAACCTGCAAAATCAGCAAGGGGTCAAATACTTATTTCCCCCACTGTAAATGCAAAAAAACACCTTTAAAAATGGACAGATCGCATCAGAAATGTCAGCGAATCAGGACACGCCATCAAGATATGCATAGATTCTATAAATGTCGGCAAAATAACAGAAAAAAATCACAAAAAAACTCAGGCAGAAAGTGGACGGAGAGCAAAAACGGGCTGAATTTATGAAAGATTTTGGTTAGAGAGGAGCACTGTTGTTAACTGAGCTGTGACTCACAGGAAGCTCTTCTCCCCTAAAAAGCTTCTGATTATCTCAACAGCTATTGGCTGCAGTTATTGGCCTTATTAAGAGCAACGGTTGGCTTTATGTGGGCTTTTATAAATTACATCTGATTAGAGATGAGGCCTCTTTGCCCGGGAGGAAACTCAACAGCGTCAGAGGTGATGATGAGTTTAGATAATCTCATAAACAGGATGTGGAGCGTCATCAGATGCTCAAACGAGCTCCAAACTCAAGCCAAATTCCATATTTGAGCATTTGTGCACCTGAGGAAATGAGTTCAAGCAATTAAAATTAGTTTTTGAATGTTTCAGTTTCACAGTTTAACTTTTTTTTTTAAGTTAATGGCGTCCAATGTCAAGTGAGAAAATAATAAATGATAAAATAAGGTTATAAACAGCATGGCCAAAAGAATTATTCATATTATTAATATGATTATTATAATTTTGATGATGATGATGATGATGATGATGATTATAATTATTATTATTGTCATAACTTTTTTTTTAATTAATGGAGTCCAACGTCAAGTGAGAAAAGGCCAAATAAGAAGGTTATAAACAGAATGGTCAAAAGAATAATTCATATTATGTTTATGATTATGATTGTTATTATTATTATTATATTATTGTCATTATTTTTACACATTATTCAATTCAACAGTACTATATATATATATATATATATATATATATTCATATATGGAATTAATAATGCTATTGAATAGAATAATGTGTAAAAATGTTATTACAATAATAATCATAATTATTACTATTATGATCATTATTATATAGGAATCCTATTAATAATAATGTAATAACAATATGAATTCAGTTCTAATCTGTATGACTGTCAGATATCTAAGTGAATAGCTGCTGATACGACCAGTGTTAATAAAGAAGAACTTACTAGAACATTTTCTTTGGGATGTGTGTAATATACAGGAAATGACGGCAAACATGGTCACCAGCATCGAGCGTCCAGCAGAAGCTCCGGCCGGTTCCCGTCTCCTCAGAGTGGCCGGGCTTTTGACCGGAGACATGAAGCCCCTCGGAGAGTGGGTCAGAAGTGAGTGACCCTTTAAATCAGTGTTTTTCAACCACTGTGCCTCGGCACACTAGTGTGCTGGTCAGGTGTGCCGTAGAAAATCATCCTCCATCCATCCATCCATTATCAATACCGCTTATTCCCTGATGGGGTCGCGGGGGGAACTGGAGCCTATCCCAGTGGTCAACGGGCGAGAGGCAGGGTACACCCTGGACAGTCCGCCAGTCCAAAACAGGGACACACAGAGACACACAAGGACCAACAACCACTCACACTCACATTCACTCCTAAGGGCAATTTCTCCAATCAGCCTAACATGCAGGTTTTTGGACGGTGGGAGGAAGCCGGAGAACCCGGAGAGAACCCACAGACACAGGAGAACATGCAGAACCACCCAGAAAGCTCCTGGTTCCACCCGGGATTTGAACCCAGAACCCTCTTGCTGGGAGGCGACAGTGCTAACCACCACACCACCGTGCCGCCCAAAGAAATCAAAGAAAATCATCCTATTTCACGTAATTGGTCTAAAAATATTTTTTGATAAGGAATTAATTATCTGCAAATAATATTCCATTTTTGAGTCTGTGCTGTACTAATGACTGGTGGAGTAATCATGTAATAATTCCTTATGACTAGATTTTGTATATAATTTTGCATATTGAAGTGGACATGTTAAGAGCAATTTGACAGAATAAATATAAAATATGATAAAAATACATTTTTGTTTATTTGATTCCTATTCAAGACACATAAGATAAGATAAGAATAAGATAAGAATAACTATAGTGTTACTATAGGCGGCTACAGATTTGTTGAACATTTTTGGTTGGTGCTGTGCCTCTTGATTTTTTCAATGAAAAAATGTACCTTGGCTCACAAAAGGTTGAAAAACACTGCTTTAAATAACAGTCCAGACCCCCGGAGTTTTTGAACCCCAGGTTGTCGGCCACAGGGCGTGTTGTATATTTGACTGATCCAAAGACGAAATGGAGTCGGATGGATAGTTCAACTGAACTTTAGTGAATAATAATAAAGGGATGATCGAATTATACATTACAATACACAACAGAGTGTAGGTGATCGGCTAACATAGCTCTTTTTCTCGGTAAACTCCTCAATTCTCACTTCTTCGTCTAACCTCCAGTTCCTCTTGCACCTGTGCAAAGCATCGTGGGATATTGAGTCCATTCTGT